TTGAGGCTGCGAGGTCTTATGAACCACACCACCGTTGCGCTGAGTGTTGGCCATACTGGACTCCTTTGTTGGAGTACAGGATCAGCTAAGGAAATGAGGAGAATGTGCACAGTTATTTAGCCGTCCAGTTAGGATAGGGGCGAATACCCAAAGTGGACAAACCACCCATAAGACGCCATTGGAGATCGACGCTCACGATGACTCCCGGCTTAGTTATCGAATGAGCTCATTGTTCCGCAAGTCAAGTCATGCGTTTTCGCATTATACTTAATAATAACAGAAACTTTACAGTTCGGTATTCTAGGAGAGAGCGCACAGAGAGTGCACGATTTATACGAAATAATATTAATTCAACCCCTGGTTCTGCAGACGAACCAACCGAAGAAAATTGGAAGAATGCAAGAAACCGCTTCGTGTCGAAAAGATCAAATAATAAAAACTCGGCAAGAAGATTTAACACATGTGGGCGACAGTAAACAATAAATTACTGATAGTGGGACTGGAAAAATGAATTTATGAAAGTAGCCGTAGTCATTCCACATCCCGAACGCCAGGGAATTTCAACGGTAGTAGATACTGCAAACCAAGTACCGAAAAGCCCATATTGCAAATACTCGTTGTCTTGTCCATCGCTTCATGAAGGTCGAGACTCGATGGACCTAATGTCTGTTAACTTTACGAGCTAACAGGACGCGTAGTATAATTCGCAAAGAGTTGTGCTTCGTAGAAAATGTCCAGTATTATAACGCAACAGAAAAGGTTGGGAGCTTTCCAAAATAATGGAACTGAACACCTTGGAAAAGAGAAGAGAATAAGCGTGATGTCGGGAATTTGAAACCCAGCTAACCAAAATTCTACCGCCGCGCGTCCTCAGTGCTCACTGTACGCGATGTCCTCCAGTATTGAACTCATTAACCCCAAGGCCGAGAGTGTTCGGCGCGCTGCTGCATTGCAGGTATGTCGTACACAATGCATTTTATATCGATTGCGAGGACTGAAACCATTATTGTACCCTAGGTCAACACTAATGGTGCTATGGGTCTGGCCAACGTCGTTCGGACCAATCTTGGTTGGTAAATTCGCGTTAGAAGCTTAGTAAGAGATTGACCTGATGTATAGGACCGAGAGGAACACTAAAAATGTTGGTCGACGGTTCAGGTCAGATTAAAATGACCAAGGTACGTCACCCTTTCACCAAGACAGCCACGAAATTCATCTCTATGACCGATGCAGGATGGCAAAGTCCTGCTATCAGAAATGCAGATCCAAAACCCGACCGCCGCCATGATTGCTAGAACAGCTGTTGCCCAGGACGAGCAAGTTGGAGATGGAACGACTTCTGTTGTACTTTTAGTCGGAGAACTCCTTAAGCAGGCTGAACGGTATACCTCTGAAGGTGTGCACCCAACTGTTATTGCGAGTGGTTACGATATTGCAAAGAAAGATGCTCTTGCGGTATGTAAATACCCGTATCTTCCGCCTATAGATCCTCACTTCCCCCCAGTTCCTCGACAAGTACAAAATTCCTCAAAAGATCGACCGTCCTACTCTCATCAATGTTGCTTACACTTCCCTTGCAACTAAGTTGGCCAGCGCTATTGCCAAGCAGCTTGCTGCCGATGTTGTTGACGCCGTCCTTGCCATTCGGCCACCACCCCCACCAGCCCCACTCAAGGACGACGACGCAGTTACGCCGAGGGAGCCAATTGATCTTCACATGGTTGAAATTATGAAGATGCAACACCGGACAGCGTCCGAGACGCAGCTTGTCCGTGGACTTGTCTTGGACCACGGAGGAAGGCACCCAGATATGCCAAAACGCGTCGAGAACGCGTATATCCTCATTCTCAATGTCAGTTTGGAATACGAAAAGACGTGAGTACATAATTTATACCTATCTTTGATCCTCATGCGAGCTTATCTTTAGGGAGATCAACTCCTCGTTCTTCTACTCTTCCGCCGATCAACGGGAAAAGCTCGTCGAATCTGAGCGCCGCTTTGTCGACGCCAAACTCAAGAAGATTGTGGAGCTTAAGAACCTCGTGTGTGACCAGGCGATCGACGATGAGAAGAAAGGTGGAAAGCCCAAAAACTTCGTCATCATCAACCAAAAGGGTATCGATCCCCTCAGCTTGGATATCCTCGCTAAGCACAATATCCTTGCTCTTCGACGGGCAAAGAGAAGGAATATGGAGCGTTTGCAGCTCAGTGTTGGAGGTGTCGCGCAGAACTCTGTCGATGATTTAACGCCTGACGTCCTTGGTTGGGCTGGTTTGGTATATGAGCACACTCTTGGCGAAGAAAAATACACTTTCGTTGAGAATGTCCGGGAGCCAAAGAGTGTTACGTTGTTGATTAAGGGTAAGCAAACCTGCCCTTTGATTCGAGTTATGCTAATCATCTGCGTTAAGGACCTAACCAATATACTATCAATCAAATCCATGATGCTCTCCGTGACGGCTTACGAAGCGTTAAGAATACTATCGAAGATAACTCTCTCGTTCCTGGTGCCGGTGCTTTCGAAATTGCTTGCGCGCATCACCTCACGACTGTTACTAAAGTGGGTGACATTTGACATACTCTCCTTACATTCGTTGACCTTGTTTCAGAAAAATGTCAAAGGTCGTGCAAAAATGGGTATCCAGGCGTTCGCAGATGCCTTACTGGTCATCCCGAAAACTCTTGCTCAAAATGGTGGATTCGACGTGCAAGACGTTGTTGTTGCTTTGCAGGTCCGTATACCTTCGTCTTGCCCTATACCGATTCCTGATATATATATATATATGTCCACAGGAGGAGCAAGCGGAGGGTAATATTGTTGGTTTAGATATTCAATCCGGTGAACCTTTCGATCCTACCGTTGAGGGTATCTGGGATAACTACCGTGTCAAGAGACAGATGTTGCATTCGTGGTATGCTACAGCCTTATAGTCATTCTCGATTTCTAATCCTTTTTCTAGTTCGGTTATTGCCGTTAACCTCCTTTCCACCGACGAGATTCTTCGTGCCGGGCGAACATCCTTAAAATCTGACAACATTGGGCAGTAGAGCAATGGGGGAATGCAGATACTCCAGGTTAGGGATAGATTATACCGTTTCGATCTAGTACATATACATACGCATGCATGGTATAACAAGATAATATTTTCATTCCGTTCAAGTAAGGATATATATAAGTGATATTCCGAATGTTATACAAACAAATCTGTTCCAGTTCCAAACTTGAGATGTTCCGCAGGCGTGTGGTATTGTCCTTGTTCTGTGTTATTCAATTTCATGAATGTCTACGCCAATTTGCCAGGGACAACGGGATGAGAAGCGGAGAGGCCGCCATCCACAGCGATATTCTGACCGTTGATGTAGCTTGAGTCGTCCGAGCCGAGGAAGAGAGCGACTTGAGCGAGCTCTGAAAGACGAAGTTTCAATTGGAATTGCAGTCCCCGAAGCAGGCACATACCTTCAGCGACACCATGGCGTCCAAGTGGATTCAATTGACCGATCTTGAATGCTGTTCCGCGGGAACGGGCAGCGTCGAAAGTTGTCGAGGTCATGCCAGTCTATAGCAGATATTAGAATGAGTAATGATCCATGAGCATCACGAACCTCGATGAGACCAGGGCAAAGGCTGTTTACCCTAATGTTGGTCTTGGCGAGCTGGTATGCTGAAGTATGAGCAATATTATTAACACTATACTTCTTTCAGTATCTGCTGACGCGCTTCAAACGAAGACCATGAAACAAACGTACGCTGCCTTCGAGGCACTATCTATGAAAGATGTTAAAAAGGAATTAAGTTCAAATAAAGATCCACTCACAATCAATGCTTCCAGCCCCAGATCGAATACCAGCGACTACAAGAATTAATACAATGATATCTCGCCTAGATATACGATAATGTACCTGACGCAGTAAGGATAATGCTTCCTCCAGATTCCTCTTTGCCCACGGAAGGATTAGATTTGAGCATGCTCAGAGACGCGTGCTTCACAGCCAGGAATACGCTGTAATAACATGGATTCATGCTAGCATTGGAGAATAAACGGATAGCTTACGAAAGCGTATTTATGCGCATGATTTCTTGCCATTGGTCGGCCGTGATAGAATGAAGCGGCTTTCCCGTCGCAATACCTGCCTGAAGGGGCGTCAGCTAAAATATTATGAGATTTAGGATCGTAGGAACAAACATTAGCGAAGAAGACGTCGAGTCGACCTTCCTCGTCCGTGGCCCGCTTGCAAACCCCCTTAACGAGTTCTTCGTCTGCCGCGTCCCCTTGAATGACAGTTGCCTACTGGAAGCATAAGCATAGCATGGATATGTGTAGCTCAAAATCCATACCTTGACATCAGGATATGTCTTCTCAATAGTCTCCTTCAGATTAGGAAGGTTCTCGCCGGCATAGTCTAACAAGTACAGGTGCTTAGCACCTTCGTGTGCGTACAAGAGAGCTGTAGCGCGACTGAAGTTTGTGGTAAACAAACAATGCACTCGATAGCAGCTCTTACACTCACCCAATGCCCTTCAGACTCCCGACACCCGTTATGATGCATACTTTGCCCTTCACGCGTCCAGTCCTTGGTGCCGTCTTGAGGTGGTTCTGAATCTTATCCAACCGGGCGACTGTCTTCTTATAGAACTCTTCCGGAGTCTCTTTCTTAAGCTGGGGTAAGGATCCTGGTCCAACTGGAGGCATGGTAGATAGTGGTATGAAGGAAAGAATCTAGTTGGTCACAACCGGTCATCTGGATTCTGGAGGTAGCCTAGGTTCGGTTTCGGTTTTGTCGCATGCCGATCATTTGTATATCACTGGGTGTTGTCCATCCGCGTGAACATGAATGTCCTATAATGGTTCGGAGACTCCAGAATAGGCCTTTGAAGGAATGAAGATGTAGGGGAACCTAGGAAATGCAACCATCGCAATGCAATACATAGGTATGCAATATCAAGGAACATTATATAGTATTAAAAAGCTGTCAGCAAACCTATTCAACAAAAAAAAAAAAGCTAGAATCGGGAATCGAACCCGGCGCACATGCTTGGGAAGTATACAGGTTGCCACTATCCCACCCCAGTCAATATGGTATAGCCTTTGCAGAGAGCTTGTACCCTTCTGATATTGGTAACACTGAGCGCTTAAATAATCCTTGATTCTTGCCCCGTAACAACTCTCGTTTATTTTACACCTGAGTGGATACTGACCATGCTGCTTAGGTGTAGTTCATGCTCATAAGAATATTTTAGGTTTATAACATGACAATGCGGCTGGCACTAGGCAATAGTTCGAACGGTTCAGATGGCACCCGGCCGTGTTGATATCGTGCCAAAGGCAAGAATCGCAACTTCTCAGCACATGTTCCAGTGTCATACATGGCAACTCAATCATGATATGTCGAAGAGGTTATAATACTGCCAAATGAATAAGCATATCAAGGCATATACGAAAGGTAAGAGTTACTTGTCGTATTGATAGCACTTCTAAATGTAGCATATTACTCTCGGAAATGGATAGGTATTGTGCCAATATCAAGCCGGAGAACCCTAGAGTTGTTATTTAATGGGTCCATGGCTGCGCTTTCCATCCGACAGCTGAAGGAACATGGGATCTACTAGGACTCGTGCTGAATTCTATGTTGGTGAATTTAACTTTCCAGGTATCAAAGCAGAGGTTCAAGAACAATCCGAAGGAACGTAGAGCAAAATAGGTTAGTCCCAGATTTTCTCAATACTTGTACTCAATGTAATTAAAACTGAATCTTTTTAGGTGAATTGCTCGCATCGACTGAAAAGAAGCTCAAAACTGCTTGAGATCTCGTTAACAGGGCAGATATTCGTGAGATCCCGCGATATAAGTGGAAAGCAAGAATTTTTGAATCATTTCCTCCTCCAGCAAAAATTGCCCAGAAGCTGGGAACGCTTCTGGCTCCTGCTAAGGATGTTGTGCTTCTTCTTGATGCTGTAGCTGAGATCCACCCTGCACTAAAGGTGTTCCCATTTTATGAGATGTATGCTTTTACTTACCTCGTTATAATCTTAGTTTATCAGTGGTCTTGCGAAGGCGCGTATTAATCCATAATCGGAGTTTCTGTATGGAGTCTGACAGGAAATATAGGGTGTGATCCAACTCGAGCTCGATAGACACGAAAATGACAAACAAATTGCCGTTGTCTTCTTCACCATGGTTCGTCTATAGCTCTTTATTCCTTATTTCCTTATTGTTTTCTCTTTTCTGCAGGGTTTCTAATGCACGAACGCACCTTTCACCTTTAGAGCTCTTTATTATTCCGTCTTTCAAAACTCGACCCTATATTTGCCAATGAGAGCGCAGCTCTTCATTCCTCCTTGGATGACCATTTGAAAGACATGTGTGCCTCAATCAAAGACTTTGGTAGGTCTATTATATGAATAAACATATAATTCACGTTCTAATCTGATTCTCAGGTAACTTCTGCGAGTAAGTTGTCTTAGAGATCACTGTATTCTAGGTCACATTCTTAACACATCTTTTAAGTATCTATCCTCGACAAAAATCTAGTCTTTGTAAGCATTATTCCGGACCTTTACTGTTATTCATCCTCTAATGATTTGAGTCTAGTCAAGACTCTCAGGCCGGGAAAATACAAAGAGAAGCTTGAAAATTATGCAAAAGACTTCACTGTGCAAGAGAAGAAGCTGGATTTGCTGCTCATGTCACATACTGTACAGTGCTTAATGCGCAAAGCACTAACATCGATGTCAAAAAGATCAGGGCTTTGCTCGACTGCAATCCATTAAAGAGAAAAAGAATAAGCAAGAAATAGGTGGTGCAGATCATGTTATGCAGGTGATGAATTTTTAGCAATGTTCCCTATTTTAAGATCTTTCATAGTACTGAAAGTTCTGATGTGACGGTTTAGGATGACAAACTCGTTGACAAATTGGTTGAAATTTTGAACTTGAAGAAAGACAAGGTCAATTCAGCAACCTGTCGTGCTGTTAAAACAGACCTCGGAGATCTCCTAAAAGCCAATGAGTAAATATATGATAATGATGCATTAAAGAATTTATTCATGTTTCATCCAGAAATGTCTATGAAATGAAGCTTGAACGTTCCTTAGCAACACTTAATATGGTTATCACAGACTCTAGAGATGCTATTATTGCAAAGGTAAATAAATATATGATATTAATCTCAAAGGCTGTTCTACTAAACCTTTTACTTGATGGATGAGGGACCGCATGCATTCATAGGAGATTCGGATATTCAGAATGTCTGGAAAGGTGAGTATTCATCTGTCTACCGTTTGTTCCACCATGGTTTCCCTTGCTTAGAAATGCGTGCAAACACCAGTACCAAAGTTTGGGTCTTTTTGGACAGTAAGGGACAGAAACTAGCAATTGAATATATCTCATAAGCTCAATTTAGCTGTTTATCATTATTTCAATTGGAAATTTGCCAAGGAGGAGAATCCACATCCAGATAAATGGACCCTGAAGTTCCTTTCCAAGGTCATCTGTAGGTTGTTGCAATCTATTCAGCATGTGGTCTGTGTGGAAGAATCTAAAATCAAACAGTTTACAGCTCCATTGGTGATGCTATTGATGATGACTGCAGTGGATTTGTCTCTGTACATGAGGTCAACCAGTTCCTAAAATCCCGTCCAGACAGATGGTCTGTTCCTGAATGGATTGCATTGTATGTTGGTTTACCTTTTTTTTCAATTTCATCCTGACATATTGGATATTAAAGCTGGGCCACAGGCCCCTACCTAAACAATATTGAGTGAGTCTTGGATCGTGGTCACAATTTAGACTCTTTAAGAATAACAATTTATGGAAGCTACCAGGAGAAGATTGAAGCACTTAAAACCAAACTCAATGAAGCAATAGATGTTGATGGCGACTCGGATCCTAAAAATTATGTGCTCAATGTCAATAGAAAGCATGTCAGATACTTCGTCAATGGTATAACTACCAGGCTTAACTTAATTGACATTTTTGAGGACTTATCTGACTTTTATGGAGGATCAATGACAGACACTAAAATCGAGAAACTTCATGTTCAATGGCGGGAAATCCAGGAGGCACCCATCATAAAGAATTTAGAAAACTCAAGATATCAACTACCAGGAGAGGACCATGTATCATTGATTTTGGGAACATCAATAATTGAGCAGGTCAGTAGAAGGTTTTCTGGGAAGTTATGAAGTGCTGAGTAGCTCAAGGATAGGAATCCTTCTGTCTTATCTATTTAGTGCTTCAACAACATGTCATGGTGGTAGATCTTGCGAAAGAACAAGTTGTATCTATTGTCGAATTCGAGGGTATGCGGGAGACATGGGAATCTATCTTCAGTGCATTTGACAGTTGAATGTTCAACTTAATGGAGATATGGCATCAGCAGCGATGAGATATCAAAGTCCAGGTGGAGTGTTATGCAGCTGGCCTCTTTGAAGACTGGTATAAGAGGATTGGTATTTCTTTAATCTATTCTATATTCATGCATATTTATCACACGATTCAGTTTGGAACTGCAGAGTCGGATTCTGATGAGGATGAGGATACTAGCACTGATTGGGATAGTGATGAAGATGTGGACAAAGAGTGATCACAGGCACCATCCGTTAGTATTCAGTCTGCAAAACAGAAAAAAAAGCTGGACCCTAAGGAACTGCTCTTGCATCCTATACCAGAGGAACCTGAGGATGACAAATATCTGGAAACCGAAGTGGATTCTGATTGGGAAAGTCCAGAAGAAAAGAGAAAGAAGGTGAGAAAACTTGGCTCTATTTGTAGTCCCACCTTCATTTTATTTGTATTTAGGCGGAAAAGGAAATGCTGAACTGTGTCAGTACCATGGAAACAAGCTTACCAGTATCGAGAGTCTTCTTCGAAAGCTCCTTACTGTGCAAGGTATTAACATGGATGAAGACTCAGCACATCAAGCTCAGAGAATCTCCGACCCTCCTAATCTGCAGAGGAATATTATGATGGAGAATTTCCCTACAGACAACTGGAACAAACCTCCCTCTGACTCTGGAGAGACCGGTAGCTACGTACAGGGTGACCAGGCTAGAGAGCGCAGCAATGCCCAGGAGGACACTGGTAATAGCGACAATGAAAGCTACAACCCAGGTAACGGAGAGAACATCAGCAATAGCGACAACCAAAGCAACAGTCGCGAGAATCAGAATGATGACAGTCAGGGGGATGACGATGACGATGACAACGAGCATGGGGATGACAACGAGGACGAGGACGAGAATGACGATGACGATGACGATGAGGACCAAGATGATGATTATGGGGACAATGACAATGACAATGGGGACGATGACGAAGACGACGACAGTGGGGATGACTATGAGTACGACTAGAGACTCTTGGAACGCTTCCCTCTCTACGGCTTGGTTTGTTGAACTGACCAGATATTTCCTTTTTTTCTCATTAATAAGTATTCTCATTTTGCTTTGTTATTTATTTGGATGAATTATGCACGTTTTCCCTAGTTACTTATAGGGGTTTCTGAATGAGGGGAATTCATTATGTACGACACTGTTGTTTGTCTGATACACGACTGGCTAAGACTATCAACAATGCACGTTATTTATGCCTTCGTATTGCAGGACATTATCCAGGAACAGTATAGTAGTCACTGGTATTCAATCTAAAAGATTGGGACTCCATTCCGCTAAGTACCACTGCCGAGTGGACGCCATCCTGAACATTGATCGAACCGATTCAGACACTAAATATCAAAACACATTATTACATTTATTGATTTAAAGAATATAGCGGATTAGTAGACTTCAGTATAAACGAAATGGAAAACAAAAGAGAAAAATGATATCCTAGATACAGCGTCTACTAACTTCTATGTAATAAATCTCATCGTCCATGCAATGAAACGCGCAGCGTCCAAATATATGCAAAATAAAATAAAAGCGAACGTTAATCAAGAGAAGACGAAAGATATTCAATTCGTTAGATCATGTCCGGGTCCGGCTCATTCAAAACCCTCCGCAACGCCACAACCTGCTTTTCACTCAATATCTCCGGCCATGCAATTTCCCAGCTACAAACCTATTCTCGTCATT